GCCTAAAACATTTATTCAAATATATATATTAAAAAAACACCATTAAGCGCAAAAAAAAAAAAAAAAAAAAAATTCAGAATGTTCAATTTATAACCAAGTAACTAACTGTTGAGATTAACAAGAACAAGAAATGATAATAATAATGGCAGAAAAGTAAAGAATGCAAGATCTACCGATGATTCGACGTCCATAGCTGATCGATGAGTGCAGATCTATCCGCCATAATATAATGATATGATCGAATTAATCATTATAGGGAGGGAGTACATGAAATATATATATATATATATATATATATATATATATATATATATATATATATATATATATATATATTTATTTATTTATTTATTTATTTATTGTGATTTGTGAGCGCGAACGTCAGAAATGATATATAGTACGTAAAACCTAGCTTATAGGGATCAGACTATGTACAATATAATAATAAAAAGATTTTTTATTTTTAATTACTTGTGCAACATTATCACTTCGTTATCACTTTAATTAAAATGATTTATAATTGAGATAGAAACTTTATTATTATTAATATAAATATAAATGTTATTTAAAATGATTAAAGTTTTGAAGAAATATATTTTTAACAATAGCTAAGTATATATATATATATTATAATGATGAATCAAGTGAGAACAAACTTAGTTAAGAAAATTTAAAACCAAAATCAACATTAAATGTAAAATAAATAAACAAATTTAAACTTATAAGATCAACATTAGCTTTTATTATAAAAAGTGTTTACCCGCATTCACTATTAATTACATATTAATTAATGTGTTCACCGGCATTCACAAGTAAAAGTAAAATGTTTACAGTTCAAGGTAACCGCTTTGATACCACTTGTTGGTCTCGTTAGGGTCGAAAGAGAGTCTAGAGGGGGGGGGGGTGTGAATAGACTCTTCTCGAAAACTAGAAATCAATTCCTTTTAGTAGATAAACGCAGCGGAAAAAATGAGTTCGTTTTACAATATGCTTTGCACAGTTTGATTATGAGAAGCTTAGGGTTTGGTCAATATGCATGCAATGCCAGATAGATAGTTATACGAAAGTGAAGGGAGATGGAGAGAGGAATTTTTATAGTGGTTCGGCTATTAACGAAGCCAACTCCACTCTTCTTTGACAACTTGTGAAAGAGTGTGCACTATCACTCCAAGTACAAACTACTTCAAGCTAGCTTCCTTGATCACTAAGCGGACAGCTACTTGGAAGGTTTTTCAACTCCTTGAGTTTACTCCGCCTTTATCAACTTCTTCTTCAGAGTTGAGGGTAGAATGGAAATGACGTGTTTCTCCAACAGCTTTGAAGTCTTGACAGGATGAATGGATGAATCTTCACTTGATTATCCTTTTCTTTCGTCTTCTTACTAGTCCAATGATCTTTCTCATCATTTGACGTTTACACGAGAGTTAGACCCTTCCATGTTTCTGTGACACCCCGAAATCCAAATTCAATTAAAGGGATTAATTGAGTAATTAACCCTATTTCAATTGGGGAATTAATTCCTAAAAATCCTGAAAATTCAATAGTCGGAGACTAGTAATTGACTAGTCAACCCCAAAGTCAAAGTTGTACCTTAAGCTTTATAGGGAGTTCCTTGTTCCTTACACTTCCTTATGTTAGTAAGGGTATTCTTGACCTTTCACTTGGTGTTAGTATTGTAACCTAACCTAGTAGACCACCTTCATTTTTTCCTTACACTTTCCAAAAATCTAGCTCTACCTTCTCTCTAAAAAGGTAGATAGCTTTTCTTCCAAACCAAGTTGAAGCCTTGCCAAAACTTCAAGAGTTGCTTCCAAGATTCAACCTTTCATATATTTGGGCATCTAGGAGGGTAAGATCTAAGTTCATCTTGTGTTTTTAGTATTATCTAAGGTGTCTTTTCTTAAACATGGGATCTTTATGATCTTTTGGTGTGTTCTTGAAGTGGGTTTGGAAGGTGAGCTTTGTGAGGAGCTTGTTGAGGTGTAAAGTGAAGTCTTTAGTCTTCAAGAGGTAACCCATGCTCTACAAAATCTATTTTGCTTACCAATATGTGATTTCTTGGATTCTACATGTGTTTTTGCTATGAAATGTGAGTGTTTATGCATTGTCTTGTGAAAATGCATATCTAGAGCTTGTGTTTAGGGTTCATTTGTGCCATTGCTTGGCATTTCCTTTGATTCAAGTCATTTTGTTGTATTGGGTGAGATTTGGCATGTTTTGGACTTGAATTTGAGCTTGGAGTTGAAAATCCCCGAAGGGATTATTTGGGCACAGGTGTGTACCCGCGGGCGGAACGACGGTTAGAGGTCCAACTCGCCACCCAACCGCGGGGTACAAATGAAATGGAGGCATGTACCCGCGGGCGGAACCACGGGTAGGGGCCTACCCGTGGCCCTACCCGCGGGGCACGTGGTACTGGTTTTTATGGGATTTGTTCCCCGTGATTCTTTTGACTCGGTATTTGGTCTTTTGACTTCCCGATGTTCTTTTGTGGAACTATTTGAGCGTCTTCATTGATGTTTCGTATGTCTAGAACTATATGGTAGGATTCCATGTAGGTTTTGGTGTCTTGAATCGTGCTAAGTGTTCAACATTGTGATTCGTTGAAACCGTGATGGGTCTTGTGTGTTCCTCGGAACTACGTTTGGTTTACCCGTCTGATAAGCATGCTAGTTTGGTGTTTAAATGCTAGTGTGTGTGTTGTTTGTACCTTCCTTTGGTTGATGATAACTTGTGTTATTCATCGTTGTTGTTGGACTGTTATCCATTCCTTGATTGAGTATGGTTTCTTATCTTTGTTGTGATCCGTTGATTGATTCCTGTTGAGGTGTGATGTGTGTGTGTCTTTACCTGGATTGCACGATTAGTGGTATGGGACACTAGTCACCAAGGTATTGCAGCGGTCCTCGTGGTGGCCGTGATGTGATTATGGAGTTTGTAGCCTTTGTGTAAGGTTCACGTGTTTATTTCTGGGATAACATGTGTTATCCAGGGCATGTGTTGCCGTGTGTGATAGCTACCCTCGTGTACTATGAAATCGGTGGTTTTTTTGGAGGGACTGTTGGAGGGGGAACGACGGTTCCCAGGGGAATAAGGTTGGACTTGGTGTACAGGGGTCCTGGAGGTAAAGGTTGGAACTAGATATAAGGTTGGGGGTAGCCATAAGGTTGGAACACGGCATAAGGAAGGCATATCAACTCGTGATGGGTGATGTCACGAGGGCTTGTGTAGCCGTTGTTGTGAGTTATTCTCTTGTGACGTGAGTAGTCACAAAGGCATGTGTTGCCTTGGCATGTGTTGCCATTGGGTGTGTCCCTATTCCTTTGAGTTATGCATGTCGGGTGTTGATCTATAGTGTGATGATAGATCATACCTTGAGACTTCTTGTGAGTTGTGTTGTTCTTTGTAGTCTTGGGATGTGTTCCCGTATTCTTGTTGAGAGTGTTGAGTCTTGTGTTGACTATTACTCTTGGTTTTTTACTTATATATATATATATATATATATATATATATATATATATATATATATATATATATATTCCGTTTCGAAAATGGCTTTACAAACTTATATCTTACTTATGTATGTTATTTCACATGTATTGGTGGTTTACCAGCATTATTCGCTGACCTAGGCGTCGTCCCATGTTTATTGTGTTCTTTCAGGTGATGTTTAGACGAGTGCGCAGTCTAGTGCCTGCTAGTATAGCTTCTCCCTTACGCTTTGTGGCCTGTGAGCTAGCTTAGATGTAGTACAATGAGATATTTGGTTTTGATTTAAACATTGCAGATGTTTCCTGTGCGTTCATCCCTTTGGTGAACGTGGCATAGCACCCCGTATTCCAGTTTATTTATATATATCTATCTTTCATTCTTCCGCTCTGTTTGTTGTTGGTTTAGTTATCTGCTAGCATGTTTAAGGCTTAAAAATCGGATGGTTTTTAGGGGGTGTTACAGTTGGTATCAGAGCCTAGGTTTGAGCCTAGGAGGGTTAAGTCTAGACTTTCTATGTGGCTAAGTGTGGTTTGAGACTTTTAAGCGACCTTAAGAATTTAAGTGTTAGGCTTAGGACTCTTGGTTGCGCGGTGAGCTGAGTGTTGCTTTTTCTGTTCTTTGTTTGTTTGCTATCTTTTGGTAACCGTGTTGTTGTTGTAGAAGTTTGCGATGCCTCCTCATCCCCGAGCACGCACCCCGGAGACCCCAACGAACGAGCAGCTCGCTCAGAATCTCCACCAGCTAACGCAGACGATGCAGACGCTTAGTGAAGCCTTACTGAACAACAACCACCCTATGCCGTCTCCTCAACCTACTGGGCACCGGGATATAGATCGCTTGGTGTCAGGACACAGGCCGCCAACCTTCGCGGGTGAGGAAGACCCAGTGGTTTTGGAAGAATGGATGAGGGTGTTCGACAAAATCTTCGCAGTCGTGGGTTGTCCTGAAGAGAGAAGGGTAGAACTGGAAACGTTTTAATTTTGCCATGAAGCTGATCTGTGATGGGTTCATGAGGGCCCGACCTACCTTGAAGAGCCTGAGTTCGACTGGTCCGCGCTTAAGGACAAGATGCGCGAGAGGTTTTACCCGGCACATGTGCGAGCCGCCATGTATGAAGAGTTTCTCCATCTGCAGCATGGGTCTTTGTCTGTGGTCGAATACCATAAGAAGTTCTTGGAGTTGGTGCGTTTTGCTCGGATGCTCATGCCTACGAAGCTCGCCAAGGTCGAGAAATTCGTGGTCGGTTTGAATTATGAGGCGCGAAAAGCTTTGACTGTGAGCAGGCCGAGTTCTCTTAAGGATGCCTACGTGAGTGCCGCCGATCTGTATCGTGTTCAGCAGCTTCAGAGAGGATCTTATGAGCTAGCAAGGAAGAGGACTAAGAGCGGAAGTTCTTCCACCTTCAAGAAGCCATGACCGAGTTTTCAAGCCAAGAACGTGTCATCCTCAACTCAAGGACCTAGCCGAATGGAGCAAGGGAATCAAGCCAAGGCATCTCCTTGTCAGCGATGTGGGAAGATGCATATCGGTCAAAGTTGCAACCGCTTCGTGCTGCGATGCTTTCGTTGTGGAGATCGTGGTCACAAAGTTGCGGAGTGTCCCAGCAAGCCAATCAGAGGGCGTTGCCGCCACCCCCGGGAGCCGGAGGAGCATCGGGAGGTAGTTCGGGCCGTGGAGCAGCTGGAGCTAGGCCACTTGAGAGGGTCTTCGTGATGGAGCGTTCGTAGGCAGAGTCCGATGGTTTGGTGGAGGAGGAGTTGGCAGGTAATCCTTTCCTAGCCTATCCTTGTTTTTCGTGGGTATCGTGTTCTTTGCTGTCTTGAGTGTTATCTTGTGCTTCTTCGTGCCTATTTGAGTTACTTGGCAATCCTTGGCATGCTTTTCTTTGATAATGATTCTTTTGGAGTTAAGTGTAAGCTCTTCTTGTTTAGTGACTTCCTTAGTTTTGACGAAATGAGTTTCGTTGCGAAGTTAGCTATCCACCTTTGGAATGAATCGTGTTTGGGTTAATTCTACAATCCTTGCACTTAGTTATTCTTGCAACCTTTCTGTTGAGAACCCTCTACAATTTCCCAAGTATTCTTTGAAGTTGAGAATAGAAAATCCTTACCAAAAATTCTTCCTTGAGTAGCTTAAAAGTCAAGCCAAAATGTTTAATTGTAACTCTTGAGTTTTGAACCCAAACCTACTCTTTGCCAACCCAACCACTAAACCACTTAAGCTAATTGTCTTTTTTAGAACTTATTCAATCTTAATTCCATCTAAACCATAAATTCCCACTTTACCCAAATTCCCAAATTAAATCATCTTTCCCCCAATTTTTCCCCAAAATCCCTAATTTCCCAAATTTTCCTTTCTTCTTCTCCTTACCCGTGAACCACCCAAAACCTTTCCACCCGTCGCCACCACCTACACCCGCCACCCCACCGCCGGCGTAGCAGCCATCCGCCACCGTCGTTCGCCGCCCGCCGGAGCTGCGTCGCCGAGAGAGAGCCGCGAGAGAGAGAGAGAGAGAAGAGCAGCGAGACGAAGGAGTAGAAGAAGAAGAGTTGTCGACTTTGTTTGTTGAGCTTTGGGTCATCTCCTACCATGCCTAGAAGGTCAAGCTTAGCTAGAAAAGTGGAATGGGTGGATGCCCACTACCTTGTTCTTGAAGGTAAAGCCTTTGATCCAGAATTTTTTCCTAATTCTTTGTTGGATATGCTTAGATTCCAAGGTTTGTTGGATGGGTTTCTCGCCATAAGGGCCGAGACTTACCCGAGTTTGGTTAAGGAATTTTATCGTCACATGGTTGTGACAAAGGAGGGTGATATGCTTGAGATCACTTCTTAAGTGAGAGGTGTGAAGGCTTGTGCTATCTGAAAAGAGGCTGACTCAGCTTTTGAGTTTAACTGCTTCAGGAGTTGCTCAGTATATTGGTCATTCAAGGATTAGTACGGATACCATGGGGTACCGGGACTATTTGAGCTATTTGTTAGGTCGCACGAGTGGTTTCACTCAAGCTTCAAGGCCAGAGAAAAAGTGGTTATCAGCGGAACAAAGGATTTTGGTTATGTTGGTGTTAGATTGTTTTTTGCCTAATAACAACAAAAGCAAGTTGTTGGGAAAGTTGAAGTGCACCTTTGCCTTTTGTCTCAAGAATATGGTCAAGTTCAACCTACCAGCTTTGATGTTGCAGCACATGGTTTTCTGTCGTGATCATAACCTGAAAAGCCTACCGTATGGGATGGTGTTGAGTTGGATTTTGGTTAGGAAATGTGTAAGTGTAGATGGTTGTCTTCCGAAGGCTGTGGGAAAGTTGGTGTTGGATGCCGCCAATCTTAGGAGTTGCAATTTGTTTCAGCTGGATGATTGGTGACTACATCACGCTTGAAGAAGTGGCACGGAAAGCACCTGAAAAAAGGGCCAAGTTGGCAGCCGAGCTTGGGATCCATGCCGGGAAGTTGAACCTCGCCATTCAGAGTTTGGGAGGCGATGAAGAAGTTGAAGATGAAGCCGATTGTGAGGATGAGGTGGAAGCACTGGAAGCTGTTGAGGTCGAAGAAAGTGATTCGGAAAGTGAAGAGAATCAACGAAGAAGGGAAGCTCGCACCAAGAGGGAGCACGACTCCATGACGCATGAGGAGTGCGTTGTCACCTTGCTTCGTCAGCAGAACCGCATGATCGAGGAGGGCTTCGCGTTCATGAAGACGCAGTTCGTCGTCGTGCACCAAAGGCTAGATCAGATTAAAGCCAGTTCAAGCCGTAGGGGAGAAGATGACGAAGAGTCCAAGGAGTCGGAGAGCGAGTCCTTCTAGTGTGGAGCTGTGGCTATCTTGTTTGTCCTTCCTTAGTAGTTGTATCTTCCTAGCTGTTGTTACCGTTGGTTGGTTGTTTGTGGTTTGCTTTTGTGCTTGTTTTTGTTTGTTGCCTGGTTGCTTAGTTAGCTTTGCAGTTAGTGTTTTATGTTGGTTGTCTAGTTCTTAGTGGTTGGCTAGAAGTCGGTGTTTGTGTTGAGGCTAGAGTTTGTGATGCTCAAACTATCCGTTTGTTAAACTCTTGCCAATCCTTGATTTGAAATGCCTTCTTTCTTGCTTTGAAATTCTTGAGAATCCTTTTGAGTTTTGACCAAAAGAGTTTGTTTTTGAACCTCTTGTCACAATGTTGTTTCCTATCACCGCTTGCTTTTAATTCGTCGTACCCAAGCTTCGGGGACGAAGCTTCTTTGAAGGGGGAGATGATGTGACATCCCGAAATCCAAATTCAATTAAGGGATTAATTGAGTAATTAACCCTATTTCAATTGGGGAATTAATTCCTAAAAATCCTGAAAATTCAATAGTCGGGGACTAGTAATTGACTAGTCAACCCCAAAGTCAAAGTTGTACCTTAAGCTTTATAGGGAGTTCCCTTGTTCCCTTACACTTCCTTATGTTAGTAAGGGTATTCTTGACCTTTCACTTGGTATTAGTATTGTAACCTAACCTAGTAGACCACCTTCATTCTTTCCTTACACTTTCTAAAAATCTAGCTCCACCTTCTCTCTAAAAAGGTAGATAGCTTTTCTTCCAAGCCAAACTGAAGCCTTGCCAAAACTTCAAGAGTTGCTTCCAAGATTCAACCTTTCATATATTTGGGCATTTAGGAGGGTATGATCTAAGTTCATCTTGTGTTTTTAGTATTATCTAAGGTGTTTTTTCTTAAAGATAAGATCTTTATGATCTTTTGGTGTGTTCTTGAAGTGGGTTTGGAAGGTGAGCTTTGTGAGGAGCTTGTTGAGGTGTAAAGTGAAGTCTTTAGTCTTCAAGAGGTAACCCATGCTCTACAAAATCTATTTTGCTTACCAATATGTGATTTCTTGGATTCTACATGTGTTTTTGCTATGAAATGTGAGTGTTTATGCATTGTCTTGTGAAAATGCATATCTAGAGCTTGTGTTTAGGGTTCATTTGTGCCATTGCTTGGCATTTCCTTTGATTCAAGTCATTTTGTTGTATTGGGTGAGATTTGGCATGTTTTGGACTTGAATTTGAGCTTGGAGTTTAAAATCCCCGAAGGGATTATTTGGGCACAGGTGTGTACCCGCGGGCGGAACGGCGGGTAGAGGTCCAACCCGCCGCCCACCCGCGGGGTACAAAGGAAATGGAGGCCTGTACCACCGACCACGGTTAGGGGCCTACCCGTGGCCCTACCCGCGGGGCACGTGGTATGGTTTTTATGGGATTTGTTCCCCGTGATTCTTTTCGATCACTCGGTATTTGGTCTTTCGACTTCCCGATGTTCTTTTGTGGAACTATTTGAGCGTCTTCTTGATGTTTCGTATGTCTAGAACTATATGGTAGGATTCCATGTAGGTTTTGGTGTCTTGAATCGTGCTAAGTGTTCAACATTGTGATTCGTTGAACCGTGATGGGTCTTGTGTGTTCCTCGGAACTACGTTTGGTTTACCCGTTTGATAAGCATGCTAGTTTGGTGTTTGAATGCTAGCGTGTGTGATGTTTGTACCTTCCTTTGGTTGATGATAACTTGTGTTATTCATCGTTGTTGTTGGACTGTGATCCATTCCTTGATTGAGTATGGTTTCTTATCTTCGTTGTGATCCTTTGATTGATTCCTGTTGAGGTGTGATGTGTGTGTGGCTTTACTGATTAGTGGTATGGGACACTAGTCACCAAGGTATTGCAGCGATCCTCGTGGTGGCCGTGACGCGATTATGGAGTTTGTGGCCTTTGTGTAAGGTTCACATGTTTATTTCTGGGATAACATGTGTTATCCAGGGCATGTGTTGCCGTGTGTGATCGGTACCCTCGTGTACTATCAAATCAGTGGTTTTGTTGGAGGGACTGTTGGAGGGGGAACGACGGTTCCCGGGGGAATAAGGTTTGACTTGGTGTACAGGGGTCCGGGAGGTAAAGGTTGGAACTAGATATAAGGTTGGGGGTAGCCATAAGGTTGGAACAGGGCATAAGGAAGGAATATCAACTCGTGATGGGTGATGTCACGAGGGCTTGTGTAGCCTTTGTTGTGAGTTTTTCTCTTGTGACTGAGTAGTCACAAAAGCATGTGTTGCCATTGGGTGTGAACCTATTCCTTTGAGTTATGTATGTCGGGTGTTGATCTATAGTGTGATAATAGATCATACCTTGAGGCTTCTTGTGAGTTGTGTTGTTCTTTGTGGTTTTGGGATGTGTTCCCGTATTCTTGTTGAGAGTGTTGAGTCTTGTGTTGACTATTACTCTTGGTTTTGTTTCTAAAATGGCTTTACAAACTTATATCTTACTTATGTATGTTATTTCACATGTATTGGTGGGTTACCAGCATTATTCGCTGACCGGGACTCGTCCCATGTTTATTGTGTTCTTTCAGGTGATGTTTAGACGAGTGCGCGGTCTAGTGCCCGCTAGTATAGCTTCTCCCTTACGTTTTGTGGCCTGCGAGCCAGCTTAGATGTAGTACAATGAGATATTTGGTTTAGATTTAAACATTGCAGATGTTGCCTGTGCGTTCATCCCTTTGGTGAACGTGGCATAGCACCCCGTATTCCAGTTTATATATATATATATATATATATATATATATATATATATATATATATATATATATATATATATATATTTCAGTCTTCCGCTGTGTTTGTTGTTGGTTTAGTTATCTGCATGTTTAAGGCTTAAAAATAGAATGGTTTTTAGGGGGTGTTACAGTTTTCGGTCTAAGTTGTTCTCTAGCCCTAATCACACAAGATGTAGCTAACACCATGTAGCAAGGTTCATAGAAGTATCACAAAACTCAAACCCTTCTACTTGCTTTGTATACAAGACAAACACATACAATAATATAGGTATAATCCTCCCATAAAGTTATCAATATCAATAGTAATAATGTAAATACCATATTGTTTATATTGTCAAAGTATGACACTTAGACCTATTTCCCTACTAATATAGATATAGGTAACCAAATAGTTTTCCCCATAGGCTATGTATTTATACTACTTTGTATTTCAAAGTATAGATAATCATTTATTTAGGTATGAGTAGAATACATAACACTTTATAGATAGATACACATATAGATAATTTGTAAAAGTGTAAAATAGATATCTAACTTTCAAAATAATAGATATCAATCATGGCTTCAACACCTCATCAATGGATTAAATAATTTTCCAAACACTTAACAAGCAATGGAAATAATCCCCATATTTAAAAATAGATTTTGGTCACGAGATTAGGAAAAACGGTACACAACTCGGGTCCAGACAGACTCGCCTCGCGGTACTCTGGCAAGCCCGCATACTATTTTATCCAGGGCTTCAAGCGGGACTAGGTGGTCCAGCCCAAGAGTCCAGTAACCCCTTTCGGGACTATGCAGTAGAATAGAGAGTTCCACCGCACGAGGCCTAGTCCATTTCAATTTTTGTCTCCATTATCAATAACAAAGATTCCAAATATGAATTTCTGATCCCTTACGCTAAATTTCATTGCTTTGTTTTACATGATTATTTTGTTGATGATAGTGAAGAAGATAAGTATCGAGTCACATATCTCTTTTGTTAACAATGAAAAAGAAAATAGGAACATAGATGTTCTTAAAGGAATAACTCTATATGTCATATTTTGCCTCTCTTATTTACTATTTTTTGATTAAATTAACTTTTTCTTATTTACTTATTTTTTTTTCAGTATTTTCTATATAGCATGGAAATATGAAATGGAGAGAATTGGAAACAAGAAACCAAGAAACCTCAATTTCAAAAATATAGAAAACGAAACGTGAGAAAAAAAAAAAAAAGAAAACATTAAACTAACATATGGAATATATTTGTAAATAATTTTATTTATATTTACAAATATTAAGTATTTTATAAATAAAAATATAACATTGATCCAGTGCGGATTTCTGTCCTCCGAACTCACCCCCAGTTTATTCTTATGCAGGTGGTTTTAGGGAGCTACCCGCCATGGTACCTTGCCTCAGTCTATGGTAGCCCGGCACATCATCTGCATCGGCGTTTGCGGACTGACCTTCGTCAAGCTGAAAATAGCATCACGGGCCCCTGGATTGTCGTGGGGGACTTCAATGCGGTTCTCAATAGTGAAGAGACGAGTAATTACAGCTCCTTCTCCTCGCACCGAAGCGCGGACTTCAGAAACTGGATCCAAGACGAGGGGCTCATTGACCTGGGCTTCTCAGGGCCGAAGCTCATTTGGGTCAAAAACGAAGAGGCGGAACGTGTCAAGGGCCCTCGACTTGACCGGGCCTTATGCAACACCGATTGGCGAAACAATTTCCCTGGGCCGTGCGTTACTCACCTAGCGCGAATTGCTTCTGATCACGCTCCTTTGCTTTTGCAGGTTGAACAACAGCGACAACAACTACACACAGCTCCTTTCTCCTTTCAGGCGGCCTGGCTTACCCGTACGGATGTGCATGACGTAGTGGGGAGGGCATGGAACTCAACCAGATGCTTTGTGGATAACACACGTACCCTGGCAGAAGAGTTGGCTAAATGGAACAAGGAGTCCTTCGGAAATGTGTTTAAACGCAAGAAAGTCCTGATGTCCCGGATTAGTGCGGCCCAGAAGGCCTTAGCAGCAAACTATCATAAAGGCCTAGCGAAGCTGGAATTAAAGCTCAGGGAAGAACTTGAGATCATTCTTCATCAGGAAGAGCTCATCTGGTTCTAGAAATCTAGGGAAGATTGGATCTGCTCGGGGGACCGCAACATTGCTTATTATCATGCTGCGACTACTATTCGTAGATCCCGCAATTCTGTCCAGAGACTCATGGACGAGAACGGTGTGTGGCTCTCGGGGACGGAGGAGTTGAGGGAACATATACGCGAGTTCTACATCAAACTTTTCACACCTGAACCAGATAGAGTTGCACATATCTTTTTGGAGGCAAACTTCCCCCCGCTTCCAGACTTTGGATTGGACGGTTTTCAACAGGACAGTCACTAAAGACGAGGTCCACAAAGCCCTCAAAGACATGAAGCCCTTCAAAGCCCCGGGCCCCGATGGGTTCCAGGCAGGTTTTTATCAGCACATGTGGGACAGAGTTGGGAGGACGTGTACGCTCTTGTGCGGGAAGCTTTCGCAAGTGGCACAATTCTGTAAGGCCTAAATGATACCTTGATTGCACTGATCCCTAAGGTGAAAGATCCAGAGAACATCAGACAGTTTAGGCCCATTAGCCTCTGTAACGTGAGTTACAAGATCATCACAAAGACAATCATCAACCGACTTAAGCTTATCCTCCCAAAGATCGTGGGACCGTTTCAGAGCTCCTTTGTTCCGGGACGCCAGATTTCAGATAATGTTATCATCTTCCAGGAGGTAATGCACACCATGCGGATGAAACAGGGAGCGAAGGGGTTCATGGCTATCAAGTTAGACCTCGAAAAGGCTTATGATCGGCTTTTTTGGACTACATTCAGGACACCCTCGAATGGGCGGGCTTTTCAGGCACGATCAAGGACCTCATCATGACTTGTGTCCGGACATCTAGGCTTTCAGTCATCTGGAATGGGGACCGGTTAGAGACCTTTCGCCCTGGCCGAGGCATCAGGCAAGGCGACGCTATGTCCCTAGCGATTTTTGTTCTTTGCATGGAAAGGATTAGTCAGATGATAGTCTCTGCGACGGACAGTCACAGGTGGAAAGGTATAAAGATTGCACCAAATGGGCCGACACTAACACATCTTTGTTTTGCAGATGATATGGTCCTTTTCACAGAGGCCACAAGTGAGCAGGTTGAAGTAGTCAAAGAATGCCTTGACCGGTTCTGCAGGGACTCGGGACAGCGTATCAGTCTGGCAAAGTCACATGTATTCTTTCCAAAGAATATGGATGGCAACAACGCTGATAGCATCGCCTGGCAATTAATCATTACTCGTACTAATGATATGGGTCGATATTTGGGAGTCCCGGCTTTCCATGGGCGGATTACATGTGCCAGTTTTTCGGACCTCCTGGACAGAATCTCGGGACGCCTCGAAGGTTGGAAAGCAAGAACGCTATCCATGGCGGGGCGAGTTGTTCTTGCGAAAGCCGTACTTAACGCCATTCCTGCTTACACCATGCAAACGGCAGCCCTCCCTAAAAGCATTGGACTTGAAATCGAAAAGATGACTAGGAAGTTCATCTGGGGTGGAAAGAATCAGGAGCACAAAATGAGCTTGGTTAACTGGGATCTTGTCACGACAGAGATAGATGCTGGGGCCTGGGAGTGAAACGGATGAACATGGGTATATGCAAAGCTCGGTTGGCGCCTCAGATCGGAAGCCGATAGTCTTTGGGCTAGGACGTTAAGCTCTAAATACAGGCTGACGGAGGCCCCGCAATGTGGCACAACTGGGCGACGCAACGTATCAAATGCGTGGCGTGGCATTGTAGCGGCCTGGAGCTTCATTTAAGAAGGTTCCATCGAGTGGTGCGCGACGGGAGGAGTACCAAATTCTGGATGGACAAGTGGATCACACCCTCACCTTTGTATTCACAGCTTAACACCCCGCTTCCCTTGCCGGACCTCTTCGCGAATGTGAGTGATTATTGGGATGAAGGCCGCGGATGGAAATGGGAGTCTCTGAAGGCATTTTGCCGATGATTACCAAACAGCGCTTGATGAGCTACGTGCTTGCGGACGACCTAGTTCAAGAAAAGTAGGGTGGGGGCTGGAAGATGACGGACGGTTTTCGATTAGATCGGCCTATAAGCTAGTCGTGAATAACATGGCAAGTCCGACACGGGCGAATCCTTACCAACTTGGAGAGATCACGACATAAACTAACAAAATTCTTCTTGTTTTCGGTGTGCAGGGAAGGCAGAGGACTTAAACCATCTCTTCCGGTTCTGCCAGCAGCGGAGGGCATTTGGGAGGACGCCGTCACTGGCGCACAAACAACCGCCTTAGATCATTGCAGTGGAGAGAGTGGCTGGAGGTAAACCTGAATGGAGAGGAGAAGCGCGGCTTTGGGGAGAACTGGCCGGAGCGATTCTGCACCAGGCTCTGGTGGCTTTGGCGATGGCGCAATGACGAAATTTTCAAGTCCAAACGATGGCTCTTGGACAGAAGACTGCATGGCTTGCCCGCTATGATAGAGAGACCAAGGCGGCTTTTAGCGCTAACAAGGCACAAGTCACGGGGAGGAGGACGCAAGCTAAGGTACAGGTGGGGTGGACGACGCCGGCGAGGGTTGGCTAAAGCTCAACGTGGACAGCTACCGAAAAGGTAACGGCCTGGCTGGGTGCTGTGGTCTGCTACGGGACTCTCGAGGGGATTGGTGTCGTGGTTTCATGTTTAACATAGGCCTCTGCCAGACAATAGAGGCAGAAGCATGGGGGTGTGGCAAGGTCTGTGCATGGCCTATGAGTACGGAGCAACGACGCTCATTGTGGAGTGTGACTCGAAGAGGCTGGTGGAGATTTTGCGCGCCAAAGTGCCAACGACTCGCCGATTATCAACAACATCGTGAGAAGATGCCGGAGTGAGGTTGCGAAGATTCGGAGGGTGGTCTTTGAGCATACTCTTAGAGAAGGTAACACAGTGGCAGACAAGATGGCTACAGCTGCCTTTCAAACAGCCCTGGTCTATGGAGGTTGACGGATATCCCTCAAGAATTCAACGAGGCTATTTTGCTGGACAAGCTGGGAGTGCACGTCGCGAGAAACATTCACAGCAACACGGGTGTTTGAGTCTTAGTCAGTAGTGTTTTTTGGGGTATCCCCCTCTTCGGAAGCAAAAAATTAATAAATTAGTAAATAATAAATGCCAAATTACTACCGAGTACGAAGTCAATTTAAAATAAAAATGGTATTGTTGAACTCCAAATATTTTTTAAATTTACACAATTAAAATGGTTATTTGTTTCTTTAAATTTTTTATTAATGTCTTTATATATTTAAATAAAATATCAACTCTAGATTAAGCTCATCTCATCAAGATAAGTTCATTAGCAACCTAGATGATGTAATGGTACACTATGTAAGGTGCACTACTGATAGATTTTAATTTTATTACACCGAAATTTCATTTTTTAATGTATTGAAGATCATTTTTAGTTATATCTAAAAACGAACCTTCAATATACTAAAAATGAACTATAAAAATATAATCCAATGTACTCAAAAAGAATCTTATGTCAGTAGTCCACAATATAACAAATTAACAATTGACGATGTGCATTGTGGACCATAATTCATGATATAATATGC